CTCTTCCTCTTCCTCTTCCTCTTCCTCTTCCTCTTCCTCTTCTTCCCTCCTCCTCCTCCTCCTCCTGCCTTCTCTCTCATTTTTCCTCTTTTTAAAACTCTCTTGATTTAGATAGCCTACCTGTTCTCAATTGCAAGGGAGAGATCAGCTTTCTGTACCTTGCATCTATCAGATGCGTTGGAGTTCCACTCCCCTTGAAAGAAAGAGACCTGGTAAAACAGAGGAGAAGGAGATCCACATTAGATCAGCAATCAGAGAGGTCAAAGAGAGTCATCCAACGTTCTGCACAATTTATTAGAACAATCTTAGTTTACACTTCGGTTTATTGATATATGATGGTCTTCTTTCTATCCTTGAAAAAAGATCTCAGCTCCCCTTTTCTGTATGTGGAGGATGGGGGAAGAAATGCAAGCCATTTCTTGTTTGCACACTTGCCCAGATAACACTTAGTTTGCTCTAAGATAGTGACCAAGAAGGATGCATTTTGTTCTGAGGTTTCAGGATACTTTCATGCCTTTTTTTTAACTAACAAAGAAAACAGCCAACCCACAAATCAGGTTTCTACAAAAGTGGTTCCAGTCTAGCTGTCAAATCCTTTGGTCATAGCCATTTTCTTCCATTCAATCCAATGATCTGCTTGAACTAACAGCAAAGCCAGGAATCCTTATATTGTGTCTCTGGCTATAGAGTTTTCCTAGCCCTTCATTAGTTCGTGTTAATTAAGGCTCGTTTTAGATAGACTTTGCTCCTCCAAATATTCTTGAGGGAGGTGAGAGCTGTCACCAAGAAATATCAGAAGTACTGAGAAGGGAATGTTAGAAGTGGTATAATACGAGACAATCTCACTAACTACTGGATTTTTTGTCCAAGCAGAAGCCCATGATGGAGGCCAACAACTTCACTGCTGTCTCAGAATTTGTCTTAGCAGGACTGACTAATCATCGTAAAACCCAGATTTTGCTTTTTGTGGTCATCCTCATCATCTATCTATTTACTCTTTTGGGAAACGTTGTGATCATCGTGCTCGTGCAAGCTGACTCCAGGCTTCACACACCGATGTACTTCTTCTTGACTCACCTCTCAGGTCTGGAGATTTGTTATGTCTCTAGCACCGTGCCCCAGATGTTGGTTCATCTCTTGTCTGGAAATGGAACCATTTCCTTCATACGCTGCACATCTCAGATGTACATTGCTTTGTCCTTAGGTAGTACTGAAGGACTTCTTTTGGGGGTCATGGCCTACGATCGCTATTTGGCCATCTGTCATCCTTTTTTTTACGCTGTTGCCATGGACAAGTGGCGTCAGGTGCAACTCACCACAGCTTCATGGGCTGGTGGCTTCCTCCTCTCCATGATGAATGTGGGCTGTACCCTACGCCTCCCC